ACTCCCCTTGCTGAACTGAGCAGACCTTCCCATCCATGCACTGCTCTTCTGAGTGATAAGAGGGACTGATGATCCAGCCCAGGAGCACCTTAATAGAAAATGCCCATTCCCCAAATGTCGTATTTTTGTGACATGTAAAAATATCCTATCAGACTAATATGACTAAATACACCAGTAATCAAAGTGGTGATTTTCAATTACTTAGGTCAGGCAGAGTTCATGCACTAACCCACTTCAGGTATTTTCGGATTGAAATGCCATGATACTTAGGTATATTTATTTTTAACATGACGAGAATAAACTCGAGACTTACTTTACTAAAATCACAATAATTTTCCCAGCACCACCTACTTAAACCATCAAGATATATGTAACTCATGCAGACTCTAAAAATAACCCTGTCTATGCCAAATGTATTTTAACACCACACTATGGAGTCACCATATACTCACTTTTCTCTAACACACACACACACAGACAAATTTATGTCAGGTTTTTATCAAGATGCTAAAATTTTTTACTTAAGACTATTCACTAGTGTTCTTTCTGGTTTATAGATGGGGAAAGATGCCCTGAGAAGCAAAATGACAATACAATAAGGCAATAGACTAGTAAAGAAATCCCTTTAGCACCCGTGCCCCATCTTGGATGGCTTCCTCCAAAGTACTGTTGTTCCATAAGCATCACTGTGCTTCCACTCAGTCTTCAAAACATGACATTAAAAAATCCTGATGCTAACAGAACACACCCTTTGGTTTGGTTGGGGCATACTATTTAATTTTAATGATAATTTATTCCACTGTGAGGTTTAGCCACCGGTAGACATTTTGTGAGAATGAAACTGTGAGCTGCCTCCATCAAGATAAAGCATGTCACAAGTTACTGTGCTGAGTGAAGTTATGTGCATCACATGATAAAAATAAGTGCAAAACCACATGTATACACCAAATTTACATTTTTATACTGAAAATTGTTTACCAAGAAGGTATTTTATGTTTCCCTCTATACTATAACCATAAACCAAAAGACTGGATTTTCTTCCCCATTCGTCTTAAATTTCTGCCTAATGGAAGACCAGGCCCAAAGCAAAAATCCAAGCTTGAACTATGTGATAAGAAGTTAAACTCCAGCCCAACTCAGTAGTACTGTCTTTTCCTGGTCTTTTGGATATGTGCTGACACAAACTTTGAATCTTTTCATCATTTCCTTTAAATAAAGCAATCTGAGGCGGCTTTGCTTTAGTGGAAATTCAAACAATGAATTCACAGAGCGAGGGCAGCAGACAGTCTTCCTAATGAGGACACTGAGAACACACAGCCCTAGCTCTACCCTCTGCTCCAATATAAACATCATGTAAGCTCAGTGTGCCTTAGTTTCTCCACCTAGTACAATGGTACTAACGGCACTTTACAGAGTGCTCTGATTCATTAACTGCTTATATCCTGGAGTTATCTTCTTTGCTAGAAATAACCTTGGATCTTCTAATACAATTAATTTGTAGATTTTATTTATTTATTTATTTATTCAAAATACACCTCCCTGTAATAGTTTAAGAACTTTATTATGATGCTTTACAAGCTAAAAATAATAGCTAGTAATAAAAAGAAATAAATGGCTAGGACTTCACTAATGGTTACATGATTTTTAACTACAAACTTTGACCTGGCTCTAGGGGTGTTGTCTATATCAGCAGTAAGTCCCTGAAGTTGCCATTTGAACTTCTCTATGCTACTTACCTTTCTAACTAGGGATCAATCATTGAAACAGTGCAATTCATACTTTACATACAGTATATTAAGAAAATCGTGAATGAATGTACTGCATGAAAAGTCTGAAGGAGAAGCTGGGAAGTCAATGATTATCCTGCCCGAGGCTTCCATAGAGACAGACACAATAGTTATGACACTCCTATGGTATGCGTGACACAGATTTCTGTTTTGAGCATAGAATTCATGGGCATTAAAAAAGGTTTTTTAAATTTGAAATCTTTTATCATTCAAAATACTCTGTTTTCTGGCTTGGCTATATATTTAAGGAGAACGAACAAGACAGAGCTGCAGAAGTACACGGAAAAGCCAAGTATTTTCAAACAAGGGCCAAGGAAGCAAGCTCTGTGCTCTGCAGCCCTTGGAGCTGCTATTTACACTCCTAAGCTCAATTGTCTGAAACCTACTGAAGGCTCTGGCAATGACATTCTCTACTACTAGAGTAGAAGCAGCGCATCCATCTGCCCCACAACTCACCTGAAACAAGAGCCCTTGATTCTGCAAAGGGACAGGCTCCTCTAGGCCAGAGGCAGTCCCAGGGACTGCAAACTGGCATGGCCCAACACAGGCAAACAGCTCTGCTGCAAAACTAGAGCCCCCGATTTCCTTTTGGCATATTGCACTTGCTCACAGGTGCTGCTAGGACTTCCACAGCATTTCCCATGTTTTCTGTGCTCTTTTTTTCAGAAAGCTTTTGGGAAAACAATGCATTTGTCCTTGTAAGCAGAGTGGAACTGTGGAACAGCAATGGATGATCACCACAGTTGAAGTTGTTCAGCCTGTAACCTCATGGCCTATCATCCCAAGCCACACTAGCTACTGAGAAACTGGTATGTCAAAAGTGGGAAGGCTGATGAGCCCCTTATAAGAGACTGAAGTTAGCTTATGTTTGCAGCAAAAATATTGCCTTCTCTACAGAAGAGAACACAGAGAATGAAATTCTGGAGTGAGAGGGACTGCAGGGACTAAACTGGGAGAGGCAATGGTGGATCAGTACCCTGGCAGGCTTTGTTCTGCAATTTCACCCTTCAAGCTCTTTACAGAAAAGAAAAATAGAAACCTTAACATGGTGGAAGGAAGAATACACAAATTATATGGCACTTGAAGAGGTCCAAATTGTTATGGAGAGCTATTCAGATGTTTAAACATGATTAGGGATGGGTCAACACTGAGAGCCAGCTCGCTGCTTGCAACGGAAAGGCGAGTTCCCGTATCTGCACAGCTTATGGGGAGCAGTGTTATGCCAGCGCCACAGGTGCGTGCTGGGATGATGGCGTGAGGCACTACAACTTTCAGCCCTTGCCATGACCAGCAGAGCCTGAGAGACTGGAGTACTGAGAGGAGGTATTTGAGTCCCACCAACAGAGAACCGAACCTGTAGTGTCTACCAGGTACTCCTGCCCCACCTGAGAGACAGCCTACCCCTTCCTGCAGCATCAGTGGCCAGGTTTACTGTGGCAGTTCCTGAGGTCGGACAGCTTCTTGTTTGGCACAAATCATGAATGCTGCTGCTCACATTTTCAAGCCTGTTTTCTGTAACCAGGAGACCTTGAAACAGTTTTCTGAAGCAAACACTTAGCTAATGGTACAGTTTTGGCAGCTGGGGCCTTAGGCACATTCCTATTGTTCCTATGCTTTAATGCAGCCTGCTGAAGCCCTGCTGAGACAAACCAAGCAAGTGGAGCAGTCAGAACACCGGCGCAGTCTGCTGAGCAGAAATGGATGGCTCTCAGCACAGCACCTCTTCACTCCCAGAGGCAAGGAGAGAGGAGAGGGAAAATCCTGGAGGGGGAAGAAGAGAAGGGAAGAGATAGCTGATATGAAATGGGAGTGATGATGTAGTAATTGTAGGAGGAGATCAAAACTAAACTGAAAGTAGGTCCAAGACTTGATTAACTGATGAAAGGTGCTGTTTCTTTTGGCCAGGAGGGAAGTAAGGACTTATACTGTTGTTCATCTTGTTCCTCAGTCATTTTCTGAGCAGACCTGAACTGTACTGATTGCATTAAGGACGTATACCAGGAATGGTTAACAAGAAGATAACAGTCAAGAGTCTCTAACACAGTAATGAGAAAACCTAAGATTTTTCTAAGGTGAATACCTTAGAATACAAACAAGCCCATGTTTTTGCACCAATCAGTAACATGCTGTGCTAGAAACAGGATGGAGTCCTTTGAAGTTCAAAATATCAAGGGTACTTCTACTCTTATACCCTGATGACAGGAAAAAGAAAAACAATCCCAGAAAGCTTTTGGTGTCCAGCAAGTGATAGGACTCTTGGTGCACTTAATGGTGTCACCACCATATCAGGTCAACTGAGAGAGCAGCATCCCTTCCCACTGTGCTAATGCTGCAGCACTGTCCATCTTCCCTCCTGCTGATGCACAGTGATGCCATTAAGTTCCCATCAGGTACTGCAGAAACAGTCTTGCCTACCACTATCAGCCTGTGCTGGAGGAGCAAAATTAAACCCTATAAGGAAACAGCTAAAAATAATCAAGTTTAGTTCTGCAATTAGAGTTGGATATAGTAAAAGCTGCAACTTTAATAAAGACAACTCATGATTAGACATGATGTCATGCATTAAAAATTTAATCCAAACAACTTGTCTGTTTCACTACAAATAGAAAACTTGAATGTCCTGGCAAACTGTAAGGACATGATTTACAAATACTAGGTAATATTTGGATTCTGCATTATAAGCAATGCTCCAGTCCTTCTGAGAAATAAAAATGACTTCATTCTGGACTTAGCTTGGTCATTTCAATACATCAAGCTTCATCAGAGACATAGACTGTAATTGTACATATTGAGCTCAATACATACAGATTTTTGTTTTGGTCACAGACCACACAACTAGCGTCCACCCATAATATTTACCATTGCTTTGAGGCTTTTTGCATTATGGTACTATTAAATTTCTAACCAGGACTGACAGCTTTTTGAACTGGAATGGCTGCTAGTGTTAATTAACTACATGATATGCAGATTCTGAAAAAGCAGTTTTGCTTTCTTTTCCTTGAATTCACATAACAAGTAATTGGGTACTTTCTCCAAACTACTTTGCCCTACCACCTAACCATTCCCCAGAGCCCTACACTGAAACTTGACCTCCTGTTAACTTGTTTTTTTTAATGTATGTTTGAAAACTTTCCAAATGAATGCCATTAACTCTATGTCTTGCGCAGCAAGTAGCTATGATACAGAGCAGACCAAAGGACTGTGTATACTTACAAAGAAAACTCTTTGGATTCCAGGTGCCAGTCTTTCTGTTTTTAGCTTCCAGACCAGAGGCAAAGGAGAGTTGAGAAGAAACACCAGAGGCTTCTGGTGAATATGCACTGATGAAATTGGATTCAAATGTAACGTGACCTACAGAGAAACACAGAAATACATGAATACTTCCTTAGAAGTTCGAAAACCAAAGTGGAATTTGAAACAATGAATCAAAGGTCATTTTTATATGTATTATGGCTTTCAGTGTTCAGACCTCTTCACTCAAGATTATAGAGTAATCTACTTCCAAAAAAAGCAGTCAACAGAGCACAGATTATATAAAGAATGAAATAGTTAACATTTGTGCTCTATGCTTGCAAAGCACTGCTGAAGTGTTTAAGAAAAGCTTGGCAAATGCTGATGAAAAATAGCTTATGCAAAAGGTCAAACCGCCAAGCTGAGAGTTGGAGAACAAGGAGATAAAAAGAACTGCAAAGCAAACTCCAGTTTCTGGTTTCTAGATGGCAGCCTACAAAGCTGGCTTGAAGTACAAACCTCATCTGCTGATGCTATTAGGCCATAAATCTAACCTGCAAAACAAATAAAACTAAACAAACAAAAAACAGGAGGAACAAATCCAGAAACACAAGTGAGTACTTCACTAGCTTACGGAAGGCATTCCAATAGAAATTTTAACATACACGAGGGAAAGAAAATGCCTATCTTCAGGGATTAAAAGGATACATGGGGAAAAAGATCCCAGGAGTGTACATCACAAAAGTGAGGCAACCTGTTAGAGGTGATTTTTAAGCAATCAGTTTGTGGTTGCTGGAAGCTCCTCCTGCCCAGCTCTTTGTATCCCAGTGCTGCCCTTCGAGAAAGGGGCCAATGTGAGGCAAAACCCTAGCCAAACGCACGACAGAGAACAGCCTGTCAGTTTTTAGCATATAGCAACTTGTAGTTGAAATCACAGTGGTTTTGTAGTATCTAATAAGCTTTTTAAGCAGTCAGCATTTGGCTTGATAATTCATTCTGCTTTATAGGAAAAAAGCTTTAGCGTGCAATGGAGAGATGATGTATCACACAGACTAAGCTGGTGAGCTGATGTCTCACAACAGTGGGTGGCAGGTGGGTTCCCTGACAGACAATGACAACTCCTCCCAGAAAAGGTGTAGATGGAGCAAACATGAACACAACCACCAGTTTGAGTAGTGGCACACAGAAATGAGCATGCAAGTAATTCAGAATGAATTTTGTCTCCTGCTAGAGAATTTGAAAGGAAATCTGGGAAATGGAAGCCACCACATATAGTTTATTGCATTATTCTTATATGATGGTAAACATCAGTTAGTTTAGCATTAAAGTAAATGCAGATTCATCTGGAAAACTAACTAGATGAAAGCTAGAGACCAAACTGAATATTAGGCACCCATTACTGCTGAAAAATCTTTCTAAAAGAAAAAGTTAGCTTTCTTTTTTTTTTAATTTCTTTTTTTTTTTTCCCCCCAAAGTGAAAAATTCACTATCACTGCAAAGTGAAAGTCAAACCTAGGTCTCAGGTCTGACAGACACCTAGACGACAGCAGAAAGACCTTTTTTTGCTACTTAAGAACTTGCAAAAAAGCTAGCAAACAACTGGCTGTGTTACCACACCAATTGGTAAGCAGATGCTTACATGGAGAATTTACTCAATTCTTGAAAGCCACTGAATGAATGTGTCTCAAGTCCCCATAGTGAAACAGATGGCAAAATCCCATAAGCACACCTCTGGGGGCACTGAGGACAACCCTATCTTCAACTTCGTTATGCTTGATTAAAACTTGTGGGAAAACTGGTATTAAAAGAATAATTCTGTATTTGTACTAAAACCAAACTGCTTTAAAGAACAAGCACCTCTTCTCTTTGGCAGCCAGCAGCCAGGGGCAGTGCTAGCCCTGCCTGGAAGAAGGCTTGGGCACTGCCACCTTCCACCCAAAGGCAGCCGCCTTTCTTACTGCTTGGCCTCTCCTGGCAGGAGGCCTAGTTGTATTTATGTAATTCCAAAACAAAACATTACCACAGATTATCGTGTCTTCCGGGGACCATGTTTCTCTCCATTTTCTGCCTCAAAAGAATAAATTACCTCATTTTAGGAAACTGCAGGGTGTTAGTGCTCTGAATGCTAACAGGATGACAGAGACTCCAAATGCCAAACTGTCATGATCTTAGCTATAAAAACTGCTTTACAGTATCAGGCTATAGAGCCAAAATAATTCCGTTAGCTGAAAATAAGAAAGAAGATAAAATCATTTGTTTTAGAAGGCTCTCACCTTGTTGTTCTGTCTAGAGATGGAGAGGTGAAAGTGGAAAGAAAAAGGTGTTTAGAACTGCTATTAAATTCATGGCTATTAAAAAGCTTTCATTAATTCTTGTGGGTTTTCAGCTGTAATCACAGCTAATTAGTAATAAGCTATTTAAACTATTAAATGTAGTTACCTCATTCTGGGGTTATATCTGCTTACAAAGCAATAAAAAATACTGTAATCTATGTTTACCAAAGTAGCCCAGTTATAACTTTTGCAATCCTGACCTGGCAAATGTGAGTTCAAATTTTACTCTGGTGTTTTTTCAGCTCCAAATGGCATAAAGTGCATTCAATTTTAAACTCTAAACTTCAAAGTGTCAAAGAGAAAATCTACTACACTAAATGGAGTAAATATTAAACACATCCACTCTTATCATATGCAGCCATAGCCACAATTTCACACCCAATGATAACTGGTTTCTTCTGATCCCAAAGGAAGTAAAGACTAACATAAATACTGAAGAAATGAACTATAATACAGGTTTATGTACTTAAATAACCAAGAATAGAAAAACAGTAACAATCCTCTCACACTGGCCAATGGGGGCACAGCTTGGGTTTGCACCCTGGTTGTGTTTTTATTAGAATGACTAGTCAATGCAAAGAAGCAGCTCCTATTAGAAATTTTAAAAAATTTTGCTATTTAAAACCTCTGGTATTTACTAAAACTAGAAATGATACAAAAAATGTAACACACTGAAAACTTAATCTCAGAAACAGCTAGGCCAAGTCCTTTGGGTAATAAGGAAATGGAGAAGTATCTCTGTTTCAACTGATCTCAGACAAGTTTATTCAAAGCCAGCATCTATCAGACAAGACACATGTTTTAGACTTCATGAAGATTTCTGCCTGTTGGTTTGATCACATGAGAGAGCATACAGAGCAATCATACTACCTTAGTGAGAAAATCAGAGACTCTTTGCAACTGGATCTACTATCAGATTTCATAGTCGCTATTCCTTTAGGCTTTGGAAATTAAATATGTATATAATATACACATATACGATTATTTCCATACATGCATGGAAATAATCAACAAAGTTTGAGCTGTATTCAGAAGTGGTGATATATCTATCCATGCTTTTGGCTGGAACTGTAGGGTAAGTTACATCATATAATGGAATTTTCCTACATTTCTGCCTGAAAAGTACAGACTGATCCTTAAGAAAAGCTACAGGACTTTAACACAAAATCAATTAATTTTTCATAAGTAAATTAAGTGTTCCTGTGACAATTTTCAGATTAAATGTAATTTTGCATTACTGCACCCCTCAGTTTGCTCATGAGTAAGACAGCAACAGAACACATAATGTGGAATTCATATTCCTAGTCCTAACTTGAGGAAGAATATAGTTAATGTGAGCATGCTTCTGCAGCAGCCTCTGTCGCTATATACCTCGGCATATATATTCCCTGTCACTATACTTGGCATAACAGAATTCTCAGCACCAACTTTTGTTTTCCAGACTGAAAAAAAACCCACAGATCTGCTCAAAAACTGCTCAGGACCATCTTGGTCATTGCGTTTTTCATAATTCATTTTTGCTTCAGACCTAAAGCTGATGAGGAGCAGCTGGGTAGCCTAGCCTGAATGTGACCATTCCCACTGAGAAGTCATACAAAATTAACAGACTCCTCATTGTGTAACTATTTCCACCCCCTAATGTTTATGATTGCCCCCATCACTGTCTATGATTGTTGATACACAACAGTGGTATCTATTATAGGGGACTTTTTCCTGGTCCTTGGAAAGATTTTCAAGCAAACTGCTGGGCAGTTACTAGCATTCAAGAGCTTTTTGCCAACAAGCTAGCTGCCAAACACATGGGTTTTACCTTGCCTAACAGCAGTTGGTGGGCTATCACACAGAAATTTCAGCCCAGGAAAGGCAGGCATGGTCAAAACAGCTCACCAGAGAGGCGAGAGGTGTTTCTGTGTGGAAGGCAGCACTTTGAACTGTCGAGTCCAAGTAAGAGCCTGGACTTCAACTATACACCAGACGTACCCAAATGCCCCTTCCACTCCTGCTTTAGAAATTGAGAGGCTTAATGGGACTCTGAGGTGTTATGAACTTATGACACTGACACACGCACAAGTTCCATGCTTCAGCTGTACCGGCACCTCCAGCACGACACCGTCCCTCTCTCTAGCTCTGCCTTGTTAAGCCTTCTGCTGTCACATTCGTGCTGCCACCTTCTTGCCCCTCTGCTAACTTCTGGCATGGCTGCCTCCACGCACAGCACTGCAGTGGAAGATCTTCATCCCTGCTCTCTATAGCAATATCTCTCACCAAAACATCATTTCTGCTATAGTGCCCTCACTGTGGCTCTAGTTAAACCATATATTGACTGAATTCTAAGCAGTGCTGCCCTTCCCCTGGCCACCTTTCTGTCTCGTCTTAGCTCGTGAGCTCTTCAAGGTACATCCTTTCTCAAACGTCTAGACAGTTCACAGTACCTTCTAAACACTCCACAAATTAATAGAAAGGTACTTGATCACTTCAAACCACCAAACAAAATGTTTCTAGCTAATAGTAAAAGAGCTAAGTAGATATTTTCCCTTTCTTTTTGCATTTTCACTGGCAGTATCCATATTATTAAATACTTATGTGAAGCATTCCCTAGAAACTCCATCAGAAACCCATCCTACATGTGTTCAGAGCTGTACAGCTAGATGTGAAGACATGGTGTGAAATTCTGAACTCACTGAACTCTATGGTGAAATTCATTATTTTTCTGAAACTCCCATACAAGCTTTTTTTTTTTTTGTAACGAGGTACCAAAAAAGAGATAAGTCTCCATTCATCCTTATA